CCATTTAACTTAAGAATATGGTCCCTGTCTGATCCAGTGAGGTTTCTGAGACCACCATTACTGTGACTTTGAGCCCTGCAAAGGCTCTTAGTATGTCTGCAGAAAGACCCAGGAGCAAGATCTGGCACAATGGACAACTAGAAACAGTCTGTGCCCATCTTGAGGTTGTCAGGAGTGCTGGTTCAGGATGGAGGCAGATTTTAAGCAATGAGGAACAACCATTTTGCATGCCAAGGATGCTATGGCAGCATTGAGCCAGGTCCTGCTGGTCAGTGGGCTAAGAAGTGAGGAGTCCCTCCCCTGTGCTCTGCAGGGCAGACGTTGGATCTGCTACAGGCGTTAGCTGTTGCTCCCAGCGTGCTTTCAGATGGTGGGATCCTACCCCTCAGCCACAGGGAATATCCACCCATTTTCTAGAAAGTGAAGAGTGAAGTTACAAGCTGTACCAGTTATTTTCTCAAATTTAATATATCAGTGGTGGACTATTAATAAATGAGCTCAGAACATGAGCATGTTTCTACTTCAAGTAGGGCTTGCTTTTAACTTGAAAGGGTGGATGCCTCAGGCATCTGATACAGGATTTTTTGCCAGAAATAGACCTGTCTGGACAGAGTGGAAGCTTAAAGCTTCACAGATTTGACAACAGGAAGGCGATGAGCTGGATAACATAGCTCTCTTTGTTTTACATCCATGATAGCTTTCCCAGGAGCCATAAATGGCACCTGCAGTCTGCAGTCACATTTGAAAGCATTGGCATGCTTAAACATTCAGCTCTCAGACTGGCAGAAGTTCTCACCTTGGTCACCCTGGTGAAGCAAGGTCATGGAGGCTGCCCCACCACCCAGGCGTGGCGGAGGATCCACTCCACACATGGACACACTTCTCCTGCAACTGCTGGCAGAAAAAATGGTCATGGTGTTGAGCACTGGGAGAAGTGTGTCCAGCCCGTATCTTGCTGGTGGATTCAGCATATCGCATCAGTAGGGGCAATGCTTTCCAATCAGCCCCAAGTGGATATCTGTAAGTGCTAATACCCTTGGTCCTGTGTATTGTGCAGATACGCAAATTCAGGACCAGAATTTGACATTAAAGCACAAAGTATTCTAGGACAACTGGATGGTACTTTCTGCTAATTCAGTAACCGTGTCCAGGGTGAACCTACACTGCAACCTTGGGTCTACAGCTGTGAGCCCTATGCCTCTTGAGTGTAAAGCAGACAATGCCTGATGAAGAATGCTAGAGTTTTCCCTTCTATCAGTTCACTTTTAGTACTTAAGTCTCCTGTAAAGTGGGAGAATCCCCTAGGCAGCCCCAGGTTTACATGTTCAATCAGCTACATAACTCCCAATCCCTTTCTATCCCTCTGTGTAGTTTCCCTTGTTTTCAATTTTGATTTATCCAGCTGACATTCACCTCTCTTCTGTTTTTTTTCCTCTTTTTGTCTTTATACAGTACTTTACCTACAGTGTCTTATTGAGTCTCCTGGCCTGCTCTGTGTTCCTTCAGATCAGCTGTATTGGAAAATTGATCCTTATGTTAATCATTGAATTTATATATGTTCTCATTGTGGAAGTGCCAGGGGTCAACCTTTTTGACAATGCAGATCTCCTGGTTACAGCTAACACCTAGTAAGTGCCTTTCACTTCTGAAATCTAAACCTAATTTCTTTCACCCAGTGATTTCAGTGTGGCATTAGGTGGACGGGAATGCTGAGGCCATGGTGCAAGGAAGGGAGGTGTGTGGTACCAGAGAAGGCATGGCTGTACACTAAAGATTCGGCAACGCTGCTCTCCACTTCTGAAGAGCAGGAGATAACAGTTCCCTTTAAGATCTTTTTAATCTGGAACTTGACTAGTGAGCCGTCTATTAATAGCAAAGTATAACTGAAATCAGAGTGGATCTGTGTTTCTTTTTCTTCCAGAAATGGGGAGCTGTAGTTAGTCATTCTCACTTCTTCTGGTATTACACTCCCAATACAGAAATGTCTTTTCTCAAAAAAGAAAAAGAAAACTCCAACAAACTTGAGCTGCCTCAGGGATGTGATAATGAACTGCTGAGATGTTTGGACATCTGGTACGTCAAACCCAGGTTGGGGTGGTGTTATGGTGGTGCTTGGCGTTTGGCTAGTGATCTCCTGTCAGTTGCTGTTGGACACATGTCCGCATCTGAAAAGCCACCATCACAGCCAGTGTCAGCACAATTCCCAGCACAGGGGTCTAAGTGGGAGCAGACAGTTGCCTTTTTGCTTTACAAAAGGTAATTTGTCATCACCAGGTCACATATTAATTATGGTAGCAACCTCCTTCCCCTGACAGGGTTCCCCCTCTCCTGAAGGTCAGGCCAGGGAAGGAAATTTGGCACATCCACAAATCCATCCTTCTCCACAAGTTTCATTTCTCATTGGGAGTTGCATTGTTGTGTTAACCACTTTTTTTGATTATTTCCATTTATAGGCAACAGTCATACTTGACTGTGAGTCAATAAACTCATGGCATTGTCTAAAGGTGAACGCGATGCTAGGAGGTACAATAAGGAGAGTTGCTTGCAAGACTTGGGAAGTAGAACATTGCTCTGCTCAGGAGTGTGGCGGCCTAACCTGGAGTATGTTTCCAGAAACATTTGTCACGGATGATAGCTGTGATTGCTCCTTTCTTGGACAGGAGGGTGGTTGAGAAGATTCCCATGGTCCTTCCCCGTGCTATTTCATATGTTATTAAATAGCTTGTGGAGTTGCTCAAATTTCTTGATGGTCATTAATCTCTACAAGCCAGGTGCACCTGGTTACTTCTGTCCTTGGCATAAATGTTCCATGATTTTTAGCATTCCTGTGTTCCCAGTAATAATTAATGGAGGTATGGCTTTTACGTCCATTGGCAGTAATCACTTAAATTATTTTGTTTACTCAGGCAAATGAAATTATGTAGGAAACCCCATGGAGCTTTCTGTGGGGGTATGCGGACAATGAGGTTTCCTTCCTTTCTTTACAAATGTTATGTATTCCAACAGCAGAAGCTATTTAGCATTTTCTAACACAATTAGAGAAATAAAAGCATTTTATATCCCAAATATAATTTCATTCTTATAAGTCAAGAACTAAGCAAAATTACAGCACTTAAAAGTATAATTTACATCACTTCACAATCAAAATGTCACTAATAAAGTGGAGAAGGTTAGCATGTTTTCCCAGAAATAGCTTTCTGTGATGCTGTATTCTCTCTCACTAAATGATATTTGTTTTGTCCAGAGAGCGCCATGGACAGCTACTTATTGTCCCAGTGTCTGGCAGTCCATTTGTGTGTAGTGGGAAATGGGAGCTCGGCATGCAGCTCATAGTTCAGAGGGGTACCCTATTGTCCAGCTGATATTAAAAAAAAAAAAAAAACAAAACAACATGACCTCATACTACTTTAATTGGGTGCCCATTGTAGCTGCATAATTACTGTCTGCTCTGCAGCCATTATGGGACTCTGACTGATTAGAAGTGATGCAGATGTCACTTCACACGTCTGTGTACAAACCAGCCCAGCATGCAAGCAACTGAAAGGCTGATTATAGCGTGTTGGGAGTTGTTAGACTTGACTGCAGCGACACACCAGCGTGGTGACACATGAACTATAACTGGATGCACAGAGCTACTATCATATTGCCCTTTCCCTGTGCAGAAGATAAAACTAATGCTTTGGTTTTAAAGATGGGATGGACTAATGTGATCTCCTAAGTTGAGTTCTTGCATAGTGGAGCCCAAAGAGCTTTGCCCAGTGATTTGTGCATCAAGCCCATCATTTCTGTTCGAGCTGTGGTTTGTGATTTAGAGGGCTGTCAGTCCTTGGCATCGCAGATGTAAGGAGAGAGATGCTCCTGTCCTATGGGAGCTGTCCCCAAAAGCAACCACCTTTTGTGCTGAAAATGGGCACTTAACTTGAGCAAGAGAGTATTTAGCAAGCTGCTCTCTGTGTTACCTTCCAGTAATTAAAGAGCCATCTGCTACTGGAAATGTCTGTCCCATGGGGAACCAGTGTAACACCATTATTGCTTGTATTGGGCATTTTCACTTATCCAAAGCGTTACCGTAAATACTGGGTTTGGTGCACTTCATAGTCTCTGATGAGGGTTTTAGAGCAAGTGTAACACCCATGGTGAGCTGCAGCCCCTGTACAGGGGGTCAGATCTGCCATCATCAGACAAAGTGATAATGGGGAGCAGCCCATCATCCTTGGCCAGTGAGTGATTTAGGGAAGCAGGGGAATTATGCTACGTGTGGGATGTGTCTCCAACTCTGACTAGTTCCAACTTTAGTGTGGGAGCTGCTGTCCCCAGGGTTCCCAAACTGGGTCCCCATCACAGCACGCATTCAGCGCTGGGGCTGGGCAAGAGGCTTTGCAACAGATCGTGTGCAAGACAATGGTGGGGTGCAAAATCTGTGTCAGAAGAAATTCCATTCTCAGAGCTGCAGAAAATATCTTGGACCAAACAAGATTAGAGAGTCACTGTGCTTTTATTTTTTTAATTTTATGCCCAGTTAGGGTCCCTCAGGTATTTTTATTTTGCTGATTTTGTAGCTCTGATTCTGTAGCGAGAGGTTCCCCACAGCCCCAGAAAACTGTGGCCTCGAGCTCTTGGACATCTGTGAGATTCTCAGGCTGAAGATGTATCATGCTAGTAGCCTGCAAAGCTGTAATTGCATCAGTGACTATTTTTCCATTTAAATAGTGTTTTAAAAGCTCTGCGTACATGGTTCTCAGCTACCTAATACTCCACCCACACTTGAGAAGAAACCCAGCAGCATTCAGCCATCAGGCAGTCAGGAACTCAGCCAGCTACTACCTACCAGAAAGCTCCTTTCCATCCTTTCACTGTAAGGAAAGCACACCCTCCATCTTCTCCAGCAGCTCCGCCTCATATGAGTACCTTGCAGGGTTGTGAATAGCAATAGCAATCTGCATCAGGGTTTTCCTTAGTCTACTCGTGTGCAGCACCCGTAGCTATGCACAGCACTGGACATGAGCAACGTGCATAAGAAGGGAGCAGTGCTAGAGTTAAAGGAATTAAACACATCTCCATGTTACAATAAACGGGGGAGAGAGGAGCTATCCCTCACAAATGAGCCCAAAGCTTCCTTTTTAGATCAAATTTTCCCATCTGACCAAATGAAGTAGTGATGGATGTACAAGCATTTCCTAAGCATCCCACGCTGACATTAAATTCCCAAATGATTCTTGACTCAGTACTTCTTAGTTATTTTAACCACATTAACCCTGTTGCACCTGCTCTCTGGATTTTTGAGGGTAGCTCAGTAGATCTTTTTTTGCTTCGCCCCATCTTTTAGTGTTTCTGTTTTCAAAGGGCTGTAGCCCCACACAGCGTTCGAGATGCCACACTGCAGAGGTGCTGTTGAACGGCACAGAAGGACAAGTGCCGGAGGGAAGGACTCTACTAACCTTGTCTTTGTGGTTGTTTTTTTTTCAGCGTGTCTGCAAATGCAACATTACCGTGGTGAGTCACTTTGGCATGAAATATTTTTATGGGGTTTTTTTGACAGGCATTTTCTGTTCACAAGGTGCAGTATCAGCATGTCAGCTCTCCAGCGGTGTCTGGTATTTGACAATGCATTGTTGTGAGCTGGTGCAACACAGTGCAAATGCCCTAAGTGGCCTGAGTATTGCCATTTTTTATGTGTAGCTACTCTCAAAGCATCCTCTCTCCTGTGGGACTTATGTCAACTTGCTTTATAAAGCATCTCAGTGAGCTTACTTGTAATTACAAGTCAAAGGTTTTATCAAAATAATATTTTCATACGGTATAACTCTGTAATTCAAATTTAACAGTTTTTATTTGCTTGCTTGTCAGAAGGGATGGGAATGGGTCTTAGTGCTCTTTTCATCTTATAGAGTACTTACAAAACAAAGGCTGCTAAGAAGTGACTCATTAGAGAAGCAGTGAGTGTAGAACAGTTCCGGACTTAGGAGGCTGGGGAACTGTAGGAGACCCGGTGAATGAAATCTGAAAAGCTGTCAGCATTTTGGTTTTGCCAAGCGTACTAGAGGCTGAGCATGTATGGCCAGTCTCTAAAAAACAGCTTTCATGTTGCTGTTAACCCTTTTTTAAGAAGATGAACTTCAAAGTCCTGCTTTAGAAACCAGCGCTTATGTGCCAAAAAGTCCTCAACTTTTTGCAGGAATTGTTTGTCCCTTTACCAACATGTGCTCAGGGGAAGGAAAAAAAGCTTTTTCTTCAGAGGTTGGTTAGCCTTAAAGTGAGAACTGGGGAGTGTGGCTAAGCTTTGTTCCTCCATGCTGAGACTAACTGGGAAATTCTGCTCTTT